TTGTCTGAGTACATTTCATTCGCAACTTTTAGTTCGGAAATCACAAAAGCTAGAAAGCTGGAATTTTAGGAAATGCCTCCTCCCAAGTATGACTCAACAGATTTAATTTCAGTCTCCTCGTGCGCCTGAGTACCACATGCGAAAGTTTTGGCAGGGATAATTATTATTTTCAGAACCATGAAAGCTGGAAAGCTGAAATTTTACGACAATGTCCCCTACCCACGTACGACTCAGCAAATTTAAATTCGGCCTTCCCGTGCGCCTGGATTTCACGTACGGCCCCATTAAAGTTTTGTCGAAGAAAATCTACATCTCTTCGAGATCCCGAAAGCCAAGAAGCTAAAATTTTACGGCAATGTCCTTCGTCCACGTATAACCTCGCAAATTTAAATTCAGTCTTTCCGTGCGTCTGGGAACCACGTACGGCTGCCGTGAAAGCTTTGGGGGGAAAAATTATTATCTCGAGAACAGGAACACCCAAAGGATTAAAAATTTCAAAAGGATGTATCCTGTCTACGCGGGAGCCTCATACACTCAAATTTAGCTCCCAAATACGCCGAAATCTCATAAACCATGAAATGAAATTTCTGGCACGAAATTCACTCGAAAGCCAGAAAAATTAGGAGGTTGAAATTTTGGAAGGATGTTGACCGTCCAAGATTTCAAATTCAGCTTTCACGTATACTTGTGTTCCACGTGTCAACACGTGGGAATTTAGTGAGAAATTTCGCAAATTATGAGCCAGGCAACGTGTCAACTATTTCTGCACAAGTCAAAGTGCAAAAGAGTGAAAATCCTTAGCAGGCAGACGTTCGCTGCACAAAACTGTGCAAAGCGCATGATCATACCAGCTACTGCGGTACACACCGACATTTATTTCTTGTTTTGACACGAACCTAGATTTCCAGACTTCTACTTTGCCCAGCTACCGGGTCAGAAAATTTCCCATCAAAACTTTCAGTTGTCCGTGCGTGAGACCTAGACATACGTGCAAGCCCGCAATCGAGCTTATAAAGCTAGCACATGCAGAAATTATCCTCCAGCGACTTCAGCTTTCTGGCTTTTCTGGCTCCCGAGTTAGTGATTTTCATGCTTAAAACTTTCACGTTCCGTGCGTGAGAAAACAGAGTATGTGAAAGCTGAATCTGAAACATTTGTATCGCACGCAGACGCGGAACATCCTTCTAAATCTCAGCTTTCTAACTTTTCCAGTTCCTGATTTAG